GTTGAACTGTGACCGGCCTCGTCTGTGCCTTAAGAGCCACGGTGATCCCAAGCACAAGAAAAACTGCAGCTGTTTAAAGACTTAATATTTGTACAGACTTGGCCCCGTGTGGCCTCGATGTCTACTAAATATGTGTGCTGTGACTGATTGCGAAAGTAATTGAAATGATTACTACAGAGCTTCACTCTGTGCACCAAGGGCCTTTCTTGAGACCAGCACGATGTAACTTTTACAACAAAGTTCTTGGATCCATGTCAACAGATTGGCTGCAAGTCTCTTGTAGACACCTAATTAGGATATTTTATCAGCCTGCTTGAATTTATGTGACCTACTACTGTGGCTGCACGGCACTCTTCTTCAAACCCAATACGAACTAACCCTCACAGCTGCACGACTCCTCTTTGTATCTGTAGCTTTTTCCAAGGCTAAGTGCCTTAACCAGGACAGCAGAATGTTAACAGGACAGTGTTATTCATCGCTCAGCTTTGTATCCACTGTTTGCAGAATGCCCACTGTTGTGACGTTACTATAAACTTGAGTTAATGAATAGCTCCAGAGCTCTCTGTGAGTGCTGTCGGACTTAATAATGGCTTGTTTATTTAAAAGAGGGAGACCCCCGGAAAGGCGGACAAGGGAAATGTCTGCATATTTTAAAATTGTGTCCGAACTAAGCAAACACCATCGCTCACTCAACTCGGTGAGCTGAGTTGCGAGACAAGGTGACCTACCAGGTGCAAAAACACACACCTGCAATTTTATACCTGACCTGAGCAGGCTGTCTGCAGGCTGTAATAAGCAGCAGAGTGGAACCCTAACTGTGTTTCCTTCACCCTCACCTTCAGAGCAGATCAACAGAACAACACAAAGTCTTTTCTCAGTGCATGACAAGTGCCTCAGTTGATGTCTCTCAACAGATTGTAGTAAAAAAGATCTGGAAGATTGAGTCCCTGGTGAATCAGTACTCCTGGTTATAACTACACCATGTAGACAAAGGGACACTCCAAGCAGCTCCGCAAAAAGGTTGTTGAAAGCAAAGGTCAGGGGATAAGTCAACAAAAGTCACTGAATGTCCCTTGGAATGTGGTTAAATCCATCATTAAGACAAGAAAAGGAATACGGCACATCTGCCTAGAGCAGGTTACCCAAGTGACCGTTTAAGGCCACCAAGACACTTGTGACTCCCCTGAAGCAGTTACAAGCTTCGGTGGCTGCAAAGGGAGGGACTGTTCATTCTCTATCAGGGCCCTGAAGGTAAAAGGGGTGGAAATGCATTTAAGTTTCCACTCTGCTGCTTATTACAGCCTGCAGACCGCCTGCACAGGTCAGGTATAAAATTGCAGGTGTGTGCATGTACCCGATACACAAACAGAAGCTTCACTGGGCAGCAGCTGCTGGGAGAGCGATGGTGGAGGGGAAACCATATCGGTACGGGCTGATCGTGGCGGGGCTGAGCGTGGCGGCGCTCGGGCTTTTCATCATGACGCAGGAACGGCCTCACATATATGCCACGATGTGCGCTCTGGGCGTCACCATGGTGTGCATCGGGACTGTGTGGAGCCTCTGCCAGTGCTATCCAAAGGTAGAGTGTGGCAAGACAAAGGCAGGAAATGTGCGACTGCTGCCAAGAAGAAACAGATATTGTAATGAAAGGTGTGTGCTTATTAGGTCATTGTGGCTCCCGAGATTCAGACGAAAAGCCTGGAAGAATTAGAGTGCGCTGCAGCTGAAGCGAAAGATGAAAGGTACCGTCTCACACAAACACTCTCACTGTGTCCTAATGGGCCGCACACAACTGGGTGTTCATTCAGGTCCTAATGATTGCCTGTGGTCTGTCTATGCATCAGAAAATGGCAAGTGACCATCATTTCGTGGGTAAACATGGCGACAGCAGCAGTGTAATGTGTCTGAGGAGGGAGGGGGTCTGCACTAACTCACTGTAGATGGCCTTTTTATGATTTTTTCATCGTTGCTGAATGGAGAGCGGTGAGGAAAAGCACAATAGAGGGGTGAAACGAAGAGATGGTGGCCTGAAGGTCGTGACTGAAGAGGGGCAGATTAGTTGGAAACAAGAGAGAAGAGGACCATTAATGTTCCCTTGATTAAAGCACTCGAGCCTCATTTACTGTAGCGGCCAGCGGTCGGAAAAAAAAATGAGGCTGTTCTCGCTCGGCTCCTACACAAGCGAGTGTTTGCAATAACACGAGATAAAGACGTGCGTGATCAGCAAAACCCTTCCTCGGGAGCAAAAGAAGTAAGAAAACGAGGACAAAACGCTGGAACTAGACTTCTATTTCTGTCTCTTCCCCCCCTCCTCTCCCCTTTTGATTTAATTTTAGGCACACCGAGGCTGTGCCAGGTTTCTGCGGCCAAAAGTCGAGTAGCAGCAGACTTCTCCCCGAAGCCCCGAAGACTCAGTGTTACAGCTGTCCCACACTGCATCTGCTCTGAGGGATGGCTAGGGGCTCCTTCAATCAAAGCAACCCCGAGGTACCAGACTGCACTCAGGACAGCCAGGAGATTCCCCTGATGTTTTATTTATGGCCTTTTAACTGAACAACAGCATCACTCACACATGATGCTGTGCGGATGGACTTTATTTTTACAGCTAATGGAGTGTTGCATCAGTTTGTGTCATTGTCATACAGTGATTTAAAGAAACTAAGCCCATTTACTCATGTGCTTGAGTACAATTTTGACATATTTGTACTTGAGTAGTTCATAAATGCTACTTAATACTTACACTACATTTCAGGGGGAAGTATTGTACTACATTCATCTGACAGCTTGGGTTACTTTAAAAATTTTGTTTTGACACAATGGATTAAAAAAAAAAAAAGCTTTTAAACCACAAAACTTTGTTAAATAATAAATCAGCAGTTTCCAAATTGTTTGGCTTCTTACAAAAAAGCAGTGTTCAGTCGGATCACATTTCAGATCTCACGTGGTTTCATTTTAATACATTTTTAATTGATTCAATTTCTCACCAAAAACTAAAGATTAGAGAGAAAATCCAAAGACTGAAAAAGGATTTGTATAAAAGAGCTTCCTCTGATGACCCCTCGGATTTATCTGATGTCTCTGTACATAAAACTGGATATAAAGTAGTTCAAACCTGCAACAGTAACGTGCTGCTGAAACACTAATGCTTCACTAATAATCTAATGATGTCATATATGATCATATATCAGGCAGAAGGACCAAACCATTACACTAATTTCACGACATTTGGCTGCTGTGTACTTTTACTGAAGTAGGATTTTTCATTGCAGGACTTTAACTTGTAATTGATCATTTTTAGATTGCTCGATTGGTAGTTTTACTAAAGTAAAGGATCTGAGTACTTCTTCCACCCCAGGCTAAATAAGTATTGCATGACAGTTCCAGAAGATGGCACTATTTACTGTATGAAAATGTGTGTGTGTGTGTGTGTGTGTGTGTGTGTGGTCCAGGTATTACTCATGTAGTGAGGACCTAAAGCTGTTTATACAGTCACATAATGTGGACACGTCTTCCTCATGGGGACAAAAAGCAAGTCCTCATCATATAAATTAGTAATTTTAAGGTGAAGACATGCCAAGGTCAAGGGTTAAGTTCAGGTTAGGGTTCGGCAAGTCGTTGTTATAATCAAGGTCAGAGTGTGTTAGTACACCTGAGGGACACTGAGTGGAACTGCATTCGTCTATACTATTGCAATAAGACAGATTTTTTTTTTGGCCCTATTATGCAACTTAGTCTTGCGCCCTCCTGCAGGAGGCAGATTATGAAACACACAAGATCCAAAAAATACTGGATCCTACAATTCCCATAATGCAACTCAAAAATTCCTTTCTTTACATTTTCCTCTGCCTCAAAATGCAAAGTTGAATTGCTTGTGTAAACTTGAAAGCAGTAATGTTATGCAAAGCTAGAAATGGGTGACAACATCAAAGGCAGAAACGTCTTAGTAAAGCGTCGGGCCACTACATGGTGCCAGAGCTGTTTCAGTGCACCTTGGCATCGATTCTCTCTGGAACTTTACTGGAGGGATGTAACATTATTCCTCCAAAACATGTTTTCTCATTGGAGACTGCTTGATCTGAAATCTCCAATAGATGATCAATTGGTTTCAAATCTGCGAACTGTGAAGGGCATAACATATGAGTCACACGATTTTAATAATCACCAAAGTGCTGCATATCAAATCCACTGGAAAGGTCAAGGTTTCATTTTCCCCCTCCTATAATTTGTCATCTCTCTAACAAAATCCACTGGTCAAACTCTGCCACACAGACTTCATGCTGTAAATCTGTGCTCTCCTGCCCACATCAAATATAATAATAAATTCCACCTCCTGTCACAGCCAGAGTTTTGGAGCACATGGTTCTGTAAAATCAGGTAGAAAAGCAAACTAGGTGAACTTGGTGCTAAAGCTCCTCCAGAGCCACAGAGAACATTGTGTAACAGTTGGAGTGGTGGGCTGCTCTTCATGGTGAGATCAAGGGATTGTAACTGTAATGTATCTTAACAACTACTTGTCTTTTAATTAGAACTAAGTTGACGCAATGGCAAAGCTCTCCAGAGAGTTTGACGGTGCGCTCTGCAGCTCTGAGCGCATCTCAGCACCGCACCGATTAAATCAAGAAATAAATTACAGACAGTAAAAAAATCTAAACTACACGCAGCCTGTAAGATCAACATCCTGACTCTCTCTCTGTGCAGCACGAGTTTAGGCACAATAAAAAGAACTTGCGCTTGCATGCACAAGTCATATTGTTCACATTCATGTGATGCAAATCAAGTTGAGCGGAGAGGAAGCGTTTTCTCCGATTGACATGCAATAATTACAGGGTGGTTTAAGGGGGAGCATGAAACATGACTCCTCCACTGTAAGAGGTGTTTTTAACGGAGGACAATCATTCGATACAAAAGCGGTGGCGTGAGCCGCGGAGACGTCACCAGTCCCCGCCTTGAATTATAAGAATCAATTGTTCGATTTTTTTTTTTTACCCCCCCAAAAAATCTGGATAGATGGTTGGAGGCGTTATCAGGCACACAGGACGCGCAGCTCTCGGAGACACCAAAACATCTGGATAATAAGTCAGGCTTGGAATTAAAAAAAAAAAACTCTCATCAGTGGTGCCAGTTAACAGTTATCTTTGATCATTTTCACTGGAAACTGTTCAAGAGGTGTGAAGAATGCGTCGCACCTCAGCCTGGCTCGGCTGGACACTGTGTTTGTGCGCATCTCTGGCCGTGTGCGCGCAGGATTACACCGAGGACGACGAGATGATCCTGGATCTGATCCGCGAGGACGGAACTGAACCCGAAAACGGAGCCGAACCCGCAGCCGAGTTCCTCAGGTGCAACAAGGTAATGGCAATAATTTGTTGCGTCAGATGCGTTAAAGCGCATCTTCTCCACCTAAAGTCCCCATCATCCAGAAACTAAAGCTGTGCACATGGCATTCTTTGTTAATGAGGGATTTTATTTTATTTTTTTTACTATTGAAAATCCTTTCATTTTTAGCCTTTTTAGCTTTTATCCAGCTGAAAAAAAGTCCACAGACAGGAGATGTCCATTTGCATGTGCGCTCACAAGCTGGAACCCCCAAATTACTTTCCATTTCTGTATCATGACTATGACCTGAAAACCATCCAAGCGCACAAATAAAGCAGCTGTTAACCATTAAATGTACCAAGCAACATTTTTCTTTTTTTAAAGTTACTGCAGGCATGCCTCATTTCTCCTGCGCATGGACGCATGCTGGTCACCTGTACTGTATGTTCCCTGTGCTGTGCTCCAGGCGGCGTGGCGCATGCCCGGTCAGTACCTTGTCATGCTGCATCAGGGGACGCACGACGCTCAAGTGCAGAGGACCATCAGGAGGCTGCAAGCCAAAGCGGCCAGGAGAGGATACCTGGTGGAGATCCTGCAGACCTACAGCGGCGCGCTGCACGGCTTCCTGGTCAAGATGAGCAGCGACGTCCTTCACCTGGTAACTGCTTCACCTGGCAGCAGGATCACTGGTGACCTGACGTGTGTTTGCAAAATAAAAGCGGTAGTTAAACTGTTGAACAAGATCAGTTTGTAGGCAGTTTGCAGATTGCAGAGTCTGATCACACAAGACTTAAAAAGCAGCAACAAAAATGTAAGAATCACTTTTAAAAGTGGCAGGAGACTGATGAAGGGCAGTAAAGATTGGAGTAATGTGGAGCTTGTAATAGAAGTAATAAAAGTCTGATGGAAGCGTTTTGTAGACGCTGTAGTCTAAAAACAATGACCAAAGCTGAGTAAATTACAACAATAAAGCATGGATACGTTTTCAGATCAGTGAATGAGGGTAACAGTCTGATCTTAGATGTATGCCTCAGGGGACTGAAACAAGGAGGGAGCCCCTGCTAGACTTTGCAGTATGCAGGTGTTGGGACTAAGACAGTTGGAGTCATTCAACTGTATGAATTTATCACCTAAAATGCACATTCATAGCTTTACTGAGACACTGTTTGTAGTATGTCAGGCAATGTTGTAGAAGGTGGTCACTGTAGAGAGTAGAGATATCCTGATTAAGTTTTTTTTTTTTTGCCCCCAATCTGATCTGAGTTATTTAATATTTAGTATCTTCTGATATGATCCAGATGCCATTTTTGAACATTATATACACTTAAAGTATATCAAAGTAATCCAAATCATTCCAGTGTGTATGCTTGACAACTGAACTGCAGTGCACGTCTGCTTCCAAGCTGTTCCTTAATGATATGTTGGGGGGTAACAAACCTTACTGTAACGCTCCAGTAGACCACCGTCTGAAATGCATTGTGCAGAGGGTGAAGTGCACTGAAGCCCCACAAGCTTCAAAAGACAACAAAACTCTTTTCCTCTACATGTCAGAAGATGGATTGTAGGTTAGCTGTAGTACTTGGTTTCACCACCAGGTGAAGCCTCTTACATTTTTTTTTAACACTGTAGCGACCAGTGGAGGTGGACTAGGGACAGTTCTGTGCTGAATTGTGTGGGCTTAACTAGCAATGGGCCACCATGACAAAGACTTCTGTGATGTTTAATGACTTCTGGCCACAGCTCAATTGTTTATAATCTTAACTTTGCCTATTCTGTAGAACATCATAGTCACTTAAGTATCATTTTGCTCTAGGAGACAAAACTACTCTGGCTTCTTTGTATTACTTTCAGCTGATGGTCTTGGGGGGGAACTAAGTGAAAGTTGTGGCTTTGGTGTTATCTCAAACAGTAACAGGTGGGATTGTTTTGGTGGAACATTTCCATGTATGGGGGATGAGCGCTGTGACTAAAATGGATAGTTTATATAGCTATTGGCTATCAATTAAGGAAATTGTTCAAAATTTGCATCCTCAGTATTCTATCACAAATGTTGGTCTCCCTTTACCACACAAGTGTAACAGCAGACACAAGCAAAGGATCGGTTGTAGGTAAAGCAGATACTGATCAGTTTTTAAAAAGCCTTAACCCTACGTAGTTTAGGCTACTGATTGGGCTGTCGTATAGGCCACATAATGAGGTTTGAGATATTTTTACAAACTTGTAGCTGAGTTTGATTTTGTTTCCGTCAGGCGGTGAAGCTCCCTCATGTCCAGTACATCGAGGAGGACTCATCCATCTTTGCTCAGAGCGCCCCCTGGAACCTGCAGAGGTTACTGCAGCCTCACGGTTTCATCTCTGAAAATGGAACATACAAGCCTCCAAGTGAGTCAGTCTGTAATGCTCACAGCTTTCACTCTTCACATATCATTTCTTCATTACATTATTATTATTATTTTTAAAGCACTCTGTTAATCACTTAAAGGAGTTTTACACAATTTACAATATGAGTCTCAATATGAACTTTAAAGAAGTTTAAGTATCATCCAGCTATTCCATTGACTTTCATGTTAACTCAGACCAGAATGTTCTGGAAGAAAGTTTTTTTAAAAAAGGGATAATTTTTCCACATTTATCATAACATGCCAAGTATCTCACTTCTACATATTCAGCAGAGTCTCCCCGTTACTGCTACATAAGCAACAGCTGAATTTGCCATTTTTAACTGGAACTAACACTCCAACTCCTTTTATTGAGTGGTATAAATTTACTGAATAAAAAGCCTCAGACAGTAACAAGAGCTTAGTGGGGGTCATTAAAAAGATCTGATTTTCAAAATAAAAGCCCCTACAGTTATCAGGAGCTTTCAGTGGACTTCATGGACACTGAAGACTTTCTAAATTAAACATTCACAAACACACACATTTTAAATCCTTCTAGTATCCAGCTCCTCAGGGACTAAGGACCTTTGGTGGAACTCAGTTTCTCTACCTGCATTTCCACCAGAGGACCCAGGATCTAAGCTAAAGATTATTTTACCCCACCTGAGGGGCTTGTACCGTCAGAAGGTTCAAGAACCAGGATGCTGATTGGTCTTGTATGCTAGTGTATCCCCAGCATCTTACAACTGCATTAACGACCTTCTTTCTTTTTTTTTTTTTTGGCGCGTCTTAAAGAGGACCGAACCAATGATTTTGTAGCTAAAAATTTTGTATAGGGCTCTTATTGTTTATTACTGTTGCCTGCAAAAATTAAAAGTTAGCCGATTAGTTTTCCGAATCTTCATGGGAATTTAAACGGCAGTGAAAATGCAGATCAGAAAAGAGGGTTGGAACCTTTAGTTCCTTGGAAAGTTCCTGGAAAGTGCCCTAATTGAACATAAATCACTTCAGCTACTTCTCTGTACACTTAAAGTACGTTTTACACTTTAACTCTCATGTCAACACCTTTCTTACACTATAGTTTGCCCTTTTCACTCCTGTTATTCCAACTCTTTACGGTCGGTCAGCTGCTCCTTCAATCAAACCCGCGATGCAGTTTAGCTCCCAGTGATCCGTCAACTAATACAGTTTTCCAGCTGCCGGCAATCCCACCAAAATTCTTTCAGGAATTGCATTTTCTTGTTATTTGTCAAATCCACACTCCATTTGTCCTCTGCAGATGATGGAGGGAAGGCGGAGGTGTACCTGATGGATGGCAGCGTTCAGAGTTCTCACAGAGAGGTTGAAGGACGAGTGCTCATCACAGATTTCAATAATGTCCCCGAGGAGGATGGAGTCAGAGTCCACCGACAGGTCACGCACAGCAGGAAACACTCGCATATTTGGCGTTGCAGCTCAGTAACAAAGCTGTCATGTGGATCCTTTTTTAGTGTGATGCTCAACTCTGTCTCCTCTGCAGGCCAGTCAGTGCGACAGTCACGGCACACACATGGCCGGTGTTGTGAGTGGATCAGATTCAGGTGTAGCTCGAGGTGCTGCCGTTAATCTGGTTCGTGTTCTCAACTGTCAGGGGAAAGGGACGGTGTCTGGAGCTCTGGCAGGTAGGAATCCTTCAGAACTGATGTACAATGAACTGAATTGAACTTGTGTCTAAGCAGGAGTGATTTCCTCAGATAAAACGTTTCAGTTGGTGAGTAATATTTTAGCAGCATGGTTGTGTTTATGGTATTGTTGGTTCAGACAAATGGCTCCCATTCATGGTCTCCAGAGGATGAAGTCTACTAAGTAGGACGACCCTTTGAATTCTACTGTAGTGTCACCATGATGTTAACATTTGTGGCTTTGGGTGAAACATCTTAACAACTACTAACACCATAAACTCCACAAGGATGTTTTTTTGTTAGTGGTTCCTTCGACTTCCTTCTTTTGGTTTGCCCATGACAATAATCAAAATGTTTGGTATCCCAGGACTCAGGAGGTCTCAGGCCCAGTTCTAAAACAAAATGCCTTTGGGTGCACCTGAAATTAGTGGCGGTGCTCTAGTGAGGATGCATAAATGTTTCATCGCCTGCTATAAAGTCATTATTGCCCAGTTTATATACATCTGCAGCTGCTTTTATATGGATCAAACAACCATCAGGTGCAAGTACACATAACTTTATGTCCTTCTGGCGAGACAGGATAGGGATCTTTGTGAAATTAAAATTTCTGTAAACCAAATAATCACAATCTTCATCAAATGTGTTAAAATTAAAAAATTAAAAGGCAGCACAATAAAACTTGATATTCACCTGCATGAATTGCGATCACTTTGGTGATATTATCATCATATTTATATTTTGGTTTAACCAAAAAACTGCTAAACTAATGGCATTCTCATCATCACCACCTTTTAGTTAAATGTTAATTACCTATCTTACCACAAAGCATTCAACTTAAGTGCCCAGGTATGACCAGATAGAGCTGCTAGCATGGCTGTAGACTCCAGACTCTAAGTCTCGATTAAAGCATCTCTCCAGTCACCAGTTCAACTTCGAAAAGTTCAACTCTGCACTTTCTCTAGAATCTACAGATTTATGAAGCCCTCAACTCGTTCTTCCGCCACCACTCCCAACTTGCTGCATCTCGAGCACACCAGCTTTAACACCGTAAAACTCTACGCTCCACAATGGCAACTCGTAATCTCGGATTAATTCAGACATACACGTTGGATCCAGAAACCATTTGTGAAATGGAAGACTGATACAGAAAGCCTGCAAATGTATGGGACTGGTTCTTTAGGTTTGTTTCCTATGAACTCCTGGAAGTCTAAATCAGTGTTTTTGTCATCAGTACTCTGCAGGTTCAAGGTGGAAATGATCAGCGCTGGCATCGACTACTTATAATTCTCATGATGTGTCCTTTGCCATATTAAAAAAAACAAAAACAACACATGGACATGATAACAGAGTAAAAAACTTGATCTTTATAAGTCCCTCTCCTGTGTCTTTAGGGTTGGAGTATATCCGAGCAACTTTACTGGCCCGTCCGGTGGAAGCAGTGGTCGTGTTGCTGCCTTTCATCGGCGGCTTCAGTCGCTCGTTAAACGCTGCCTGTCGAGACATGGTGGCTAATGGAGCTGTGGTCATCGCCGCTGCCGGCAATTACAGAGATGACGCCTGCCTCTACTCTCCTGCTTCGGAGCCTGAGGTGACAGCACACTTTATCTAAAGACCATCATGCATTCACACACAGACCAAACCTCACATGACCCCCCACCCTAACCTCGTTTACAGGTGATCACAGTGGGGGCAGTCAACTCAGCGGACCAGCTCATGTCTCAGGGGGCAGGAGGCACCAACTTCGGCCGCTGCGTCGATCTGTTCGCGCCCGGCGATGACATTGTTAGTGCCAGTAGTGACTGCAGCACCTGTTTCACCTCCCGCAGTGGAACCTCCCAGGCTGCTGCTCACGCTGCAGGTATCCACATGCCAGAAAACACAACAAAGCAATCTGTGTGTGCAGCTGCAGTGCGAAGGGGTTATATTCTTATTTTTGTGTGTGCAGGTATAGCTGCAGTGATCCTGTCGTCCAATCAGATGGTGTCACCAGTGCAGGTCCTACACATGATGTTAGATTATTCTGTCAGCAACACAATCAACTTTCTGTCTCTGTCTGAAACACACCGTCTCACCACTCCGAACCTGGTAGCAGCCATGCCTTCTACCAACACCACAGCGTCAAGTTAGTGCCTCGTGATCCTCAGGCTTTCACATAAGCACACACATTATCCACGTGTAGCTCAGACTGTGTGTCTACGTCCATGTGCAGATGAGGAGCTCCTGTGTCGGTCAGTGTGGTCAGAGAGGTCGGGGGTCGCGAGCACCGACAAGGCTACCAGCCGCTGTCGTCAGGGGGAGGAGATGATGGGATGCAGTAGCTACGCTCCCGATGGCGTCCGTGTGGGAGAAACCATCACTGTGAGTTTAATCTGATCAGCCTTCATCTCTGGAATCACTTTGCTCTAATGTCTCTAAACATCGTTACAGGTGAACGGCGGACGCATGGAGTGTGTTGCCTACAACGGTCCGGCAGGTAAAGGTGTGTTTGCTGTGGCTCGCTGCTGTGTGATTGGAGGTCTGAAGTGCCAGGTCCATGCTAGTCCTGAACCGGGGCAAGACGCTCAGTGTGTCGATCCGCTGCACCACCTGACCGGTGAGTCAAGGTTTTAATCTGCTGCAGATTAAATTATACAAGCAAATCTGTGCAGCTAGTTTGATGATACATTTATTAGCTTTGTTTCGGAGATTAGATGAGACGATCAACACCACCTCCTTGTCTGTTCATAAATATGAAGTTAGAGCCCTCATCCTGGGGGTTGAATTGTATGTTTGACCCTCTAAAGTCCATCTCTGGTCCCTAAAACTCATCTCTGTGTATCATGTGTTACGTATTTAGAAGTTTTTTCCATGAGTACACTATCTTCCTGCCCTAAAATGTCTTGGACATAACTCTACGCTGTTGCTTCCTCAGCAATGTGCAGATCAGTGACGTCCCCACCTCTTTGTTCATTCATCCCCTCTGCTCGAGCACACCAGCTCACCTACAATTCGAACACTGTAAAACTAGACTGAGCCACGCAATACAGTCATACATGTTGTGGACTGCAATTTCAAAAAGGAGATGCTCAGCTATGGCGTTGACTGCTCATGATTCTAGCATATTAAAAAAAAACAAAACAGAAAAACACTATATGGAGATGTTTGCAAGGTAACAAAAAAAGATTTTGCCCAGATGACCATAAACATAACAAATTGTGAATCCTGTTTCTGGAGCGTTCTCTATTTTTAAACCAAGAGCTACTAACTGAACACTCATCTCCTCTGACTAAATGAAGGAACTTCTGTCCATCTGTTGTTCACTTTCCTCAACAACTGATCATCTGATAACCTTCAGACTCTGCAGGTGTTGGCAAAATATTTCATTTACAACTTAATTAACATACAAGTTAACTTTAGAGGTCCTGGTTGGCAGACTTTTTGCCAGGCAGAGCTGCACTAGCTGTTCCCACTTGTTGCCAGTCTTTATGCTAAGCTAAGCTAATGGCCTCCAGCTCTTAATGTCTCGGCAAGAAAGTGGACAAATCTCTCTTCCTCAAAAACTATTTCTTTAAATGGAACGAGTACTGATGTGTCGGAGGGAGTTAAACTTCTACCTTAAGTACTGTACTGAATGTAAATGCTTATTTAAACCAAGTGCAAGCTTTTGATGCTACCGCATTTAGAAAATCTCTGCCAATTATGCCAGTTACCATGGCAATCACCCTCAAAAGAAATGCGCTCTTGGCCAGCATAAATGCCAGCTACGTGTGTGTCACAAAGAGCATGCTATCAAACGTCATTGTAGCACACAGTTGAATGGTTTTCCATTGTGTTCCTCATTTGCTGGCTTCACGGTGATGCCTGTGTGAAGGATGAGTCGGCGCTTGTCTGACAACCGCTGATGGAGCACGCCTTCAAAGTTTTCTATTGCTTAAACTCACACCGGCATCACTCCTCCTCTCCAGGGTGCACATCTCGGGCCGTGGCTGAGCTCCCGACCGACTCGCGTCCACGTCACGGCCACAGGAATCACTGCGCGGTGAAAGACGGGGTCACGTCACACGCAGTTTGCTGCCACGCTCCGTCCCTCGAGTGCCACCTGTTGGAAAACATCTCGGCTGACAGAGACCAGGTGAAAAACTTGGACATCAGAGAAATTCTACACAATATATATACATCATACACACACACACACAAAAAAAGCCAACAGTATAATCACAGACACACGTCACTCAGCTCACTCGCTTCTCAGACAAAAACACTCGGTGTACAGTCTGAGGAAAAAGAGAGCAGACAGCATACTCACGCACAGGACACGTTTTTACAGTAGCTTCTTCCCTGCCACAGTCACACTGATGGCAGATACAAAATAAAACTGGACTCACCAAACTATTCTGCAATGCCTATGGTGTTTGCTATACACATTTCTTCCATTTTTAAAAAATCTATTCCATAACTTATTAATTTTCAATCCTTTTTTTTTTGTATATATATGCCCATTTCCCCAGCTCTTTTAGCCCTGCACAAAACATTCTTCTGTACCGAACTGTGTGTGCATGTACATGTGGCAATAAAGTTCTTGACTAATATAAATGCCTTAGACAGCCATGTTCTGGACTTTCCCTCTTACCCTGCATCATCTCTTGCAGGTGGAGGTGTCTTGTCCTTCCGGCTGGACTCTGACAGACTGTAGCGCCATCTCTCAGAGCTCTGCTGTTTTGGGACCAGTTGCTAAGGGCAACAGTTGTCGTGTACGCAGCGCCACCGGAGCGGCGAGGGCAGCGGGCATCGCCGTCTGCTGTCGAGTCAGAGCGTCGGAGCAGCAAGCCACGACTCCTCACTGATCCAGTCTCACGCCGCGGCATCCCGAAAACAGCTCCGACACTTTGTCATCTCTCATCAACCTTAATCTCCTTCATAGTCAACAAAGCACTTCTGTAAAGCTGTCTGTGTTTCAGTTGTAGCATTAGGTTGAAATATGCTCCAGTGCACATATTGTATTGATGCCTCCGACTTAGAAATGTTGCCTCCTTGTTAGATTAAAAAAACAAAAAAAAAAACATCTGACATACACACATTTGTAAAATGTAACCAAATATTTTTGTATCTTTTTACTAAATAAGTATAATAAAAAAGAGCTTTCATGAACATCTCATTTGAATAATGGCCTTGTGTTTAGCTGACATACTGTCTTCAGGCTTTTAAAGAACTAATAAACTGATGGGATGAAATTAACTGAAGGTGAAGAAAATCCAGTTGGGGAAATGTGCTTCAGGGTGAATGTTAATGAAAGAGCTGCATAAAGGTGTTCATCAGAGGTTGTGGAAGTCACAAAGAATGTGGCAGAGATGGTTTCCAGGTCTGACTTGAGCTACAGCGTGAGGATGTTGAGTCTGGCTGCAGCACAGTCGTACATAATCAGCTTGTTGTGTTCGTAAAGGAGAATGTTTCCTGTCATGTAAACAGTTGTCTTTCCTGAGCATTGAAATGCCTTCATGTGAGGGGTTCCACAGTTGATGTAAAAATAAATGGACCAGAAAAAAAATAGTCATGACAACCAGGCATGTTCACTGGACTTAAACCCTGATTGTTTCTGACTTGCACAGACAGATGACTTCATCAGAGAACAGCACTGACATGTCAGGATGCATGAAGGTTTCATTTCAATATCGGTAGGAAACACATTAAGCTGCTGGTGTTGGAGCAACAAACTGAAATTCTTGCATTTTGGAGATTTTTTTGTGCCTTTTCTACCAATTTATAGGGAAAATGTCTTTATTTACAGAAAGAAAAACACAATCTAAATATGCCTTCCACATTAGACTCAGTTGTTGTATGAGCTTATGATTTGCTGTGATATTTTTTACAGTAAAAAAGAAAAAAAAAGATCCAGTGCTGAAGAAAAAAGATGCACGTGTCAAGCATTGTTGTGTCAATTAGTAGCGTTACAGCTTTTTTCCTCCTTTTTTTAAAGCACAACTCCTGTTTTTTTCTGCTCCCTCAGCATTAAGGGAGATGAATCCCTGCATCCCACTTGAAATCTTCGCCAAATAAATGTCAGTATAAAAACAGTGTCAACTGGTAGAAACCAAAGTTGTGACTGTGACAGGACATACAGTATATCACTGCAGCTAAACGGATACAACATGACAGATGTTTTATCAGTAAAACGGCTACAATTTACTAAGAATGTAAACTGTGGGATGAGGCTTGAGTTGAATTCACTGTGAGATGTCACACGTCTGTTCTCTGTCTGTAGGATGAGGGGTTGAGAGAAAACCCCGCAGCGGTTAACATGTCAAAACTAACTTCAAGTGCAGCAATGTGATTAAAAGCATTACAGCATAAAGTAGTGAAGAATGAGACAATGTGCAGTCATACATAAAAACCATGTTTACAAAAGGTTGTGCATTCCAGTTTATTTTATATCAAATTTCCCCTTAATCAAACTCTGATGTACAAATTAAAACTGAGTTTTAACATGCATTACAGAATCCTGCGATGTCAGAAGTGAATCTTCAAAATTGAATGACAGTAAAAACCCGTATAGATGCCAATCCCTCCCCACGCACTTCCCCATCCCTCCCTGCATCCCAGGATTAAAACAAAAGATTGTTTTGAAGGTTTTTTTTTCTTTTCTATTTTTAAGTAGTTGTGGGTGATGTAGCAGAGGGACGAACCTAAAAGAGACTCTCGGCTGAATGCAACTCATGTTGCCATGGCCATGTATCTTGGCACAGACTGCATGCAGCTCCCTCAGATAGCACGTAATCAGCCACAGAGAAGGGGCGTGTGTTTGTGACAGTAAGTGCTAATGACACCAAATTACACAGCAAACAACACGGGGGGCTGATTTGTTTCCGTCACACAGAAAAAGACAAACTTCACCACCGCTTACTGCCACACATGCAAACGTGCTGGAGAGCACGATGTGACATTCACATCTAGTGAGATCGAGAGGATTATGGAGGGGAGGGCGGGGTGGAGGGGTGTGTGGAAGGGCTAAAACAGTGTCTTCCCTCTCCTCGGGCCGCGAGGACGCAGAGGAGCCTCAATGGACTGATCGCAAGTTGAGTCAAACAGAAAACCATTTTGCATGATTGCCTTATAGGTCCTCACACTGTAAACATTGACCTGTTAAAGCTGAGAGCTAATCTGCAAAGCTAGCTTAGGCTCATGTCTTCACAACATGTGAGTGAAAGTGTGGCTTCATTAAAACTACCCTAGCGTAAATCAGTAACTACAAAGTGTCTCCGCTTGAGCGCAGAGTGAAAAGAAGCAGCATTTTACCATCACCAAAACCCTGTCCTGTCGCCTGAACCCTGTTTCATTAGGGTAGAGCTTACACCCCCACCCTCCCCCATCCACACACAGAATCACATTACATTCCTACAAGCCTTTGTCACAACACACAGAGGAAGTTTTTCCCTGTATTACTTCAGGGAATAATGGGTATGAAGAAGCCCTGTTGCACCCCTACAGCGAGACTACATGACCACAGGAGATACTGGTCCGGTGTCACAGATGGAGAAGACATTGACACGCTTTGTCGGAGATGTGATGATACAGTATCGGACGTGGGATGGGGAGGGAGATCGGGAGGTTAAGGCACTTCGAGTCTCCCGACGATTGGTTTCGGGGTGATGGTAACACGGATGTTTGCTCTCCAGTGAACTCTAGAGCTACATTTGGGTTTAGCTCCTCTGTGTGCGTTTCCAAAGGTAGACAAAGCAAAAAAAAGAAGAAAACTCCAACAGGAAACAAAAAAAACAACTGATAAAGCAGAGGTAACAGTGAGGTGAGGAGGACCTGTTCTTTGTGTTTCTGAGCGAAGTGAAGTGATGAATGACACACGCTTGCATGTTTTTTTTTTTCCACAAGTTCTATCATAATGTGTTATTCTTTGTTTGTGTGTGTGTGTGTGTGTAGGTGTGTGTGTGTGTGTAACCTTGGCACCTAAAAAATAAAACATGCTCCTGAGCTCCCCCTCAGTCGGCACTGGCGGACCACCACGACTGATCTGTGCACTTCCAGATCAGCTTTTCTTGCATAAGGCTTGAGTCCCTAAAGATCCTCTCCGGTATCCAGAGTCAAAGAAAAGTGGCGAGAAAGAAAAATAAAACACAGCCATGAAAAGAATAAAATCCAGCACGCGAGGCTGCCTGTCAGCAAGAAGAAGAAGAAGCAGAAGTGGAGGAAGAGTGCTGACCTTGGCACTGCTTGTTTCAGATTTGCTGAGGGCCCGGATGTGTCCCGTTGTCGAGGACAGGGCCCGGCCCATACTGTGTCCCCCGTGGCTGGGACCGTGGTCACCAGCGGGGGGCTGGGGTTTGGGGGGAGGGGGTCAGAGGTCAAGTCGCAGGCAGAGTGGCTCGCTATCAGAGCTTCTGTGTGTCTGCATAAGTGGCACTGCAAATGTAAGTTGATAAAAGCAAAAGAAGACGAGGACACGAGCGCGAGGGGTTGGGTGGGCTCTAGAGGAACTGACCGGTGGCTGCTGTACACGTCACGATAAGACTGGGCTGGACTATAAAGTGCATACTTGACCCCACCCCCCCTCCCGAGTGCTCGTGTGTGGAGGTGTTGCTGTACAGGCGCGTGTCCGGAAGTTCCTCTAGAGCAGCTCACGTGGCCTCCCGCAATTTGCATGGTCGTGGAGAAGAGCGCAGGAGACTTTAAAATATTATCTTACACTGGAAATTACATCTATGGAACAAATCTTTACAATATGAATATGTCTATGTAGATACATTGGCAAATATGAGCAGAAAATTGTTAAAACACAACCCAAACCCATCCTCCACCTTGCTGTCATTCTGAGTGAATGAATGAATAAAAGGATAAACTGAAGTCATCCGTGATTGTGGAAGGTTATTTGCACTTCCCAACCCTAATCAACTCTGCTGCCCTTAATGATAATGCATCTCCATCATCGCCTTGGCTGGTCTGAAAGGAAGTAATTCATGATTTATTCATAGCTCCTTTGTTGCCGTAGCGACCGAGAGACAAAGTATTCTGATTGGCTTGCTGTGGAGTCCCAAATGTCCGGACCAATCAGAGGTGAAGTGCAGCCCTTTCAATTGACTGCCCGGAGCTGTGCTGCCTCTCCTTTGGAGGAATCCCGCTGCTCGGAGGAACTAGGAGTCGACGTCTTCTAGATCGCTCTTCGAATCACCGAGCATCATGGGAGACTCCGACCCCTGTGGCAGAGATGAAGTGAATATTTAATAAGAGAACAGAGAAACGAGGTAAAAAAAAAACCAAATCACGGTGGAACCTCCGTGTGCTAGGGAGCCACAGCAGGATTATAATTTCAATGCAACACACTCATTATCTGTAGTGCCAGAAAAAAAGTCTGACAATCTTGTGTTGTGTGGGCAATCTCGACAAGCACAGCAGGATCCAGAGAAGAATGGAGCGGCTTCAAAATCCACTGCTAATAACAACCGTGGGAGGTAACAAACTGCCTTTACAGCTTTTGACAGAAGCACAGGGAGATGATCCATTTTTGCTCCATTCTTCTCCTTTTGGCTGTGCGAGATGAGCGTGAGCTGCTGTAACAACAAGAGTCATTTCAGAGCTCCACTGATCTAAGCGGCTAGCGGGGTTGTGTGGCTCATAGCTACCTGTCGGAGGCTGCGGTCGGCGTTTTCGTTTGCTGGGCTGCCGTCGGAGCCATTACTGCTGCCAGACTGCTCCTTCTCGTTTAACAATGCTGTGGCATAGGCCAAGGTATCCTGCGGAGTTGAGAACACACACACAGTGGCACAGAAGTGAGTTTGGAGGAGAGCAGCGGAGAAATATAAACAGTTAGTGTAAGTTAGAGCATTAGTGTCACAGTGGTGGACCGGGAGGAGGTCGTATCAGGCTCGTATGCGGTATTTTGTTGCATGTGTGTGTGTGTGTGTACCTGTGCAGAGATAGTGCGTTGGAAGGTTTTATTGGTGGAAGTCTCATTGGAAACGTTGCTCTGTGGAGTCCAGTAATGTTCTGTCATCTGAGGGCGGAAGGAAAATGATTCACTATGAGGATACAGGACCATTTAGAGCATTTAATCACAGCATATGAACTGTGTGTGTCCTGGTGCTTCACAGGGCTCTGACTGCCAACCAGGAAGTTACTTGTGCCTGGATGTAAGTGGAAATACTGT